TTGAGTTTTGAAGGAATGAAATTCAAATATTAAGAAACATGAAAAACAGTGTATTTTCACTATAACTCAGTCAAATCTTGCTCAAATTTAATAATTAAAGTGTCTATTTGAAGTATATTTAAAAAACATGAATTTACATTAAATAATCACTGAATTCTGTACAGAATTGAGTGAGAAATAGTTATTTTTTGTTTTGTTTACTTTTGTGACAAAAAATAATGAATCATCAAGTGTGACAATACTTATGAAAAAGGCAGTAATGGAAGAACCTACAGTAGGATTGTCCCCTTGCTCCAGAGTATCCCAGGCACACTATAACAGCAACTTTCCTTGTTGAAAGTAGTAAGGTAAGTTGAACCTTACTGTAATCTCACTCAGAAAGTCTGATTTATACTCACTAAGTCAGCCTTGGGACTTGCTGACTTGGCACATGACTGATTAGTAGTAATAGGCCCTAGAATGGATAGGCTTATCCGTGGATCCATACTATACTGTGGTAATAAAGTTCCCACGGTAAAAATTCCCACGGTTACCGTGGTTTTTTGTGAATCCACTAGTGTACCCAAGGTAACTCAGGTGATAACCACATAACCAACAGTCTTGTGTGAAAAGGCTGTGTGGGTAATGTTGGTAACTGTATATTAGATAATACATGAATATAGTAATTTGTCCCTGTAAACAACCCTTGCAATGGAGAAAAAAAATTCACTGAGTAGTTTTGGTTTGAATACCACATACAAGCATGTCTGTTGAAATTCTGAGCTTTGCTAAACTTGAAGAAAAGCTTTGGAATCTAAAAAATGCTCTTGGTATAAATGTACCTTAGACAAGCATTTGGCTCTTACTTGACCAACAAACATAGATTTTTTGACTTATATATTCTGTTATTTTGTTTTATTCATGCTTTGACCTGTAAATAGTGCACATATGCACTATATTACCCTTAAAGTACATTGCTGAACTAATACATGATTGTTACATACTAAAAACAGATACCCACATTACCCACATGTGGTTAACCAAGGCCAACAGGCCTTGGAAAATCAGCATGTGGGTATCTATGTTTCCCACATGCTCAAATGGGATTCCTTGGGTACACTAGAATCCACTAATAAAGAGTAAGAAAACATATTCTTCCTATATGCACTTCTTTTAACTCTAAAATTTGTAATATATTACTTTTTGAGTATTTAGAAGGATGTAATACTAGAAGTGCTTCTATTGATAGGGAGTGGAACATACAAGACTACTTGGTTGTTGTCTTTCATTGTGTGAAATTTGTTCTTTTGTCACGTGCTGAGGTGTTCACTTGCATCGTGCTGAGTGGATACTGTAGACTAGGGTGAGAATAAATTTACTTTTATTGTAGAAATTATAATTTATACCCAGATAACGACTTTATTTATTATCTAATAATACATATTAGCTGTATACACTTATATGTAGAGTGAAACATGTGGTTTCACTAGTAAGAATCAAGTATATAAAAATGTTTTATTACACTCCCAGTCAAGTACTCGAAGATTGGCACGGTAACGTGGATTACCACGATAACCGTGAGAATTTTTACCACGGTAAGAAAAAACCATGGTATGTATGGATCGCGGTAAGCTCGGATGGTTACCATTCCAGGGCCTAAGTAGTAAAGTGATGCTAACCTAATAAACGAAACAGAACAGAAACTTTGGTTGGACATGTTTCGTCATTCCTCTTACCCCACGACTTATCCAAACCTTGTATCTATTATGCATCGAATATTCCTCTTGACTTGTCTAATGCCATCGTCTATCAGCTCTTCCCCGAGAGTTTACAGCATTAGAGATCCATTGCGGTGCATTCGGCCGTTGGATCTAAGTGCGCACGACTAGGACCATCGCATTGTTTACATGGCCCATAAAATGTGGTTCTTTCCATTTTGATAGGAACGTTGTGTGTGGCACGGAAGTGGCCATGGCAGCTAGAAATTTGCGCATTTCGATCTCGAATGCTACTACTTGTGCACCAACAGTGATTCGCTGCACCGACCTGCGCACTCGAACCATCCGCCTCCAATCGGCAAGTGCGCCCTCTTCATATTGATTTTTACCAACGCCTAACAAGATATACAGACAAATATTATTACCAAATGTCTTCTTCCCCTGACTCACCGGAGGTTCACCATCATGGACAACCGGGTAGCACAATAACAATTGACAATCTCCCAGATGAGATTCTCATGGATATCTTCGAGCGTGTTCCACAAATGTCGCAGAGGGATACGCCGCATCTGGAATCTATGAGATACTCGTGGATGCGGCCGAGCGACTATCCAAAGGACATTCCGCCCGAGGAATCCATGTTAGCGCCATTAGGCCTCAGCCAAGTTTGCAGTCTATGGCGCAGTCTTGCCACGTCATGCCCGTCACTATGGACCGAGATTACCGTTCTCATATGCAAAGACGACAGCGCGCAGAGAGATGAGTGGTTCCTAAATGCAGTCGATACTTGGCTCTCTCGATCCGGAGTATCTCCTCTTCGTCTTAGGATTGTGGGTGATATTTCCCGCTCCTGGCTGACTTGGTGTGATCCGGACGACGCTCCAGGGCCGAAATTGGAGATCACGGCGCATATTCTAAGGAAATTATTGGATCATCAAGACAGATGGAGGGACGCTTCCTGTACCTTTATCGGGCACGATCCTAGGATACTACCGCAACTTGGCCTTGTTGACGCACCACTCCTGGAATCTCTGCCTTTTTGCTGGGTCGGGCTCACTCAGCTCCATGACATGACGCAAATTAATCTTGACATTTCGTGTTCTCCAAGATTGAGGAGTTTACACCTCGAAGGGATTCCTCGCATCACAACCGGGGGAGTCTCTAATCTGAGGGAATTGACGTTAGTTAGCGCGTCTGACGAGACAAGCATAAAGCAATCCGTTTTCCTACAATTATTGCAAGCCATCCCGAACCTTCAAATTCTCGTTTTTAAGGCCATCCATTGCGAATCCGATGCTCCGCAGAGCTCCCTTATCACGTTGGCTAGACTGCACACTCTCGCAGTCGACGACAATGGTGATCCTGCATTTTTAATCAGCAGGTTGGTCCTACCAGGACTGAAACGCTTGATTTGCAATCCTTTTCTCCTTTCTTTTCCCCACTATAGCCAGGAGTTTTCGGCTATGCTTGTACGGTCCCGTCCTGCTCTGGAGTATTACGAGCTTTCTCACATAAGGGTGGGCGGAGACACTGTCGCCCCCTTTCTGCAGCTTATGCCGGGTTTGGAAACACTTTGCTTGGTAACCGACCCATACACGCCCGATCTCTTCGAGATGCTGTCCGTGAAGGAGACAGCCGAGTCTCAGGACATTAACGCTTTTCTATGTCCTAATCTCGAGAAGCTAATTGTCAAAAATTGTGGATACTGGAATTGTAACTTGTAACCCTTCAGAACGAAAAATCAGAAACGTCGAGTCGTTATGCAATATGCTTCAAAAGAGATGCCATGCACTCGGCCGGGTTGGGACGATCGAATGCTACTCGGCATACTATCCTTCAAGTTTCGACGGAGAGCCCGTCTATACTCCTGAAAACCGATTCTACGATATTCCGTTCGTCGACATTGGTTGCGCGGGGATGCGAGAGACCCTCGCGAACCAAGCCCGGTTGGACATTCGATTCGAGAAGCTGCTTGCTATTGAGGTTTAGCCTGTGTGTAATAAACTGCTTATTCCTCTCCGTAGGTAGTCTGCCTCTCCAATAACACAGGTCA